GCTAAAATGAGTATGAGCCACAGCGGCTGATCCTTAAAGGGTGGCATTTGTGAATACGTGCGATGGGCGGAACAGTGTTGTCCATTCGGAACTCATCAGAAAACTCATGGGGACAGGTAAATACTGTCCAAAGTGTCCATATAATAACTGTAGCAAAAGAAATTGTGCAAGCGGGCTCGTCTTTTTCTAGGAGAGCGGCATCGTCTCAGCTGTTAAGAGCTCTGCTGGAAGAATAAAATGATCCGCCGTATATTTATTGGTACCATTCTCCACTACCCTTTTTACAGGTTATGTCTCCTCGCCACATCATTCGTCATAAAGCATGCGTACGTCACTACAAAGCGTTCAGATTATTGCTGATTTTGCGCCAGTCGGCTATACCCTGTTGTATCTACTCAGGCTGTTGTTAACGTTCTAAATGGAGCGAAATCAGTTAATCACGTGCGATTTTCGTGTGATACAAGAAAAAATTAGGCAGATCCCGCGTACCTTGGCAATCGATGTTATGCATAGCATGCGGAAGGAAGGCGACTGTGCAGTATTTTTTCACTGAGCGAAATGTTACCAAATTATGATAAAGGTATGCCCAACTGTTGTACGCACAGACATGTTACACAGTCGCATGTGCGCAGTTGTATAACTGTGCCATCAACAACATGTGTATCAGCACCAGCAGAAGCGGTAAGCTGATTGTAGCGCGTGTGCCAGCGAGGATGGCGGCCCTGGACACTGCTAGATAAATGCACTTCAGTGTATGCGCTTCAGTACAATTATATTTATTCCGACGTGACCGCTGTATGATTGGAGTACCTATGTACTGATTATAAGATTGGGTAGCCAGCCCATACTGTGACCAGAGTTGACGGTTCACAAAAAAATGGTCTACTTGAAAATGGTCTACTTGTTGGTTCTTCGAGGACCTAGCATATCTCTGCGGTAGAATACTTAATTGCCACGCAGAATGTTGGGGTCTGGTTCCTGCTGGGACAATGATATTTATTCTATTCGTTCGTTGTGTCAACGCTGCAGATGCCGCCCTGCCGCGGTGGTCTAGTGGCCTAAATACTCGGTTGTTGACCCACCGGTCCTTGCATCGAATTCCGGCGGCGGCGGCACCATTTTCGTTGTAGATAATGAGGCTGTAGGCAGGTTTGGTTAGATTTGGGTACACTTAAAAACCCCTAGGTGGTCGCAATTTTCAAAGCCCTGCACCACGGCGTCTCCAATAAATATATGGTGGTCTTGGGACAGTAAAGCCCGCATATTGATTAACGTTGCCAATGCCTGCTTTTTAGGGGCGACGCTGACGTGGTGGTCGACGTAGTTGGCGTCTATTACACCTCGCAAAACGCAAACCGGAACTGAACACCTGCACAACACGAAACGTGAACGTGTGTAAACAACCGTGTTTATGTGTAACCAACTATACGACAGCACAATACTTCTTTGCCGGTGCCGTACGCCTGTCTGATCGTCCATCCATGCATGCATCAGTCCGCGCGTCGATGCGTACATCCACCTGTCCGTCCATCGGTGCATACGTCCTCCTGGCCCTCCATCCGTGCGTTTGTTCGCCTCGCTTTCCGTCCTTTCAAGTTGGCGACTTCGACATAGACATTACGACCATAGGACTGTGACGTCCCCGCAAACACGGACTGAACCCTAGTCTTTTCAAGATGTTTTCGCTCGTTTCTCAAACCCACGCATAAAAAAATGGAAAAGAAAATCTTCGGTGTACCGAATGGGCATTCCGTGGTGGAGTACCTGGAAGGATTATTTCTACTATTCTCATAGGCTCCCCCGCGCCAACACGAGGACCGGGCGGTGCCTTCTCGTCTACAAACATTGAGACAGTGTACGGTGGAGGTAATCCACGCGCACCCTTCAGATTTGTGGCATGGGGGAGCAGCAGAGAACCTTTTGTTGGTTCGGGAAATACGACGCTGCAGCAGACCTGTGCCGGGTCCAGTATGACTTTCCGTGAGCCTCCGTGGCTCCAGGGTTCATTACTGCGTTCAGCGCGGATGGCCGCCCGCGGTGGTGAATGACGAAGAAGCGGTGGCTACGGAGAATTTCGCGGGAGACACCGAGCTGCATGGAAACGTTGAGACTTGGTCTGGACATCGGCTGATCAAGTACCGGAAGCATCGGGACCATTGTTCACCCATAATTAAAGTGTCTTGGACCGCTCGCCCATCTCTCTCTCTGAGGTTTGAGTTTGTACATTGTTACTTGCTCTGCTTTGTTTGGGAGAAGGTTTTCTACTGGTGTGGGCCACGGGAGCGGCCGTCGAAGACGGCACACTCGGACTGACAAGAAAATATGCCGCGTTGATAGTGGCGATTGGTTTGGTGCCCCGGTAGGGCGGAGTCACGTCCTACAAAAAGGGACTACGAGACGATACCAGAGAGTCAGAGATACGATGTGAAGGGAGGAGAGATATACGATGCGATGAGCTCGAGATGGTAGAGAGACAAGGACGGTACGATGAGGATTGAAAGTTAGGGGTAGGAGGCGAGTGAATGAAGCGTTACGAACGAGGGCTAAGATGGAAATCACTGAGAGGCTCGACGTAGGCGACGATGACGAAGACTATGAAGACGCTGACGATTCGGACAGATCAGACCTCGACGCCAAGAACCAACCTTCGGCCCTGACTCGAGCAGCCAACTCCGAGTCCCCGACTACATGGACATTCAGTGAGACGAACTTCACCTCCTTTACTTAAACGAGCTTTGCGAGAAGGGATGCGGCATAGTGAGACATTGCGCGGTTTTATTAAATAATGACTTTACAATTTGTGTCGTCGTGTGTTTACTTTGTATCGTCGCAACATTGCACTGTCAAAGTTATTTCCCTTATGTATCCTGCGCAGCACTTCGCAAGTGTGTAAACCATGTGTTATAATTTTGTGTAGTGGTTGATGTACGCCGGTATACGATGTTTGCAGTTAGTATTAAATTTAAAGAATCACTAAACAGGAACAGGCCGTAGCGTCTCTTACTTCCCGGCCCCAGCACGAATCCCTGTATGTGGGATGTGTTGAGACACACAACCAAGAGGTAACCCGATTGAAAAGGAGTTGAGTGTTCTTTTCTCTCTTTGGTAATCGGTGGCGTAGCAGGGGACGTCTCAGGACCAACAGCTTCGCCCACACGTCACCATTAATTTATTTGAGATGCACTACTTTTTGTTAACGCTCCCGAAATGAAATTGCCAATCTCTGTTCACGCCATTAATTGGTTGATATAAACTGTCAATAACCTTAAGTGCATTGCGCTTAACTACTGTTGATCTTAGGAGCCGTTCTCGCAATCTTAGATGGCACTGGAGTGGATGCACGTCTGTAGAAATGGCTCAGCCTAACAAGACCATGATCTCATCTCCCTAGTTTATCGCCATCAATCATCACTCTTTCACTGTCAGTCACCATTTCAGTCAGCCTTTCGCGGTTTACAGTAGCAGGCCAAAGCAAACTGTCGCTCAGGCGGAGATCTACCTCTCCATAAATGAATTATCTTTTCAAAAGAACTTGTTTTGGGGTGAGTTGGGGCTTACTTGATGCAGATGAGTGAAACGCAAAAAACATTTCGTGAAACGCGAAGAGCAGAATGGAAGAAAGAACAGCGCCAACTACCAACTGTTCAATGACAGTCTAAAAAAGGCACAGGAAAAAAAACAACTCTGCCAATGCGTGAACAGAGAACCAACGTCGTACAGTGTCTATAATGCTGTATTCAACAGAAACTCGGTTTTTTGATAGCTTATTGCCTTGACCATGACGCTGCACGATGTTGGTTGACTGTGCACTCATGCTCAGAATTGTCTTGTATTTTCTCGTGCGTTTCTTAGAATGTCAGTAAACGGTTGGTAGTTTGCGCTGTTCTGTCTTCTTTTTTGCTCTTCCCGTTTTATGAAATATTTTTGCGCCTCAGTCATCTGCACCAAATTATCTCTCTCTGTCTGTCCAGACATAAGAGCTCAATCGTAGGAGTACATATGTAATGTTTCGAAAATTGGATAGCCAACACTGCATCCCGAATTCATGCTTTACTAACGTTATGGTCTATATTTGAAAAGCAGTTGAGAGGTCTGCCGTTGCTCTGTGGTAGAATTTTTGGATGCCACGAAGAATTCTAGGGTTGTATTCCCACTGAGACCCTGACATTTTTTCTTTGCATTAGTCTGGTCGACGCAGCCGATGTAAACTTTTGCTCCACGCTGACGCTTTAAAATTACCTGTGTTTGTTCTCGACGTTCCGGGGTAGATACTAATTGTCAATCACCTGTTGTACATACCCGTATACCAGTAGCACATACGCGTCCGCAGATATATATGCCATTGTCTGGCGGGAAGGGTTCAACAACGTACGTGACAGAATTGTGAAATTATTCATGTCATGACCAGTGAGTCGTATTCGTAAAACCATCTTATCTACCCATATTAATTTCGGTTTGCATAAAGGTAAAGGGGTGATGACGAGAGCACCCAGGCGTAGCCGGCCAAATATAGATAGATAGATAAACAGACATACAGACGCCTAAAGTGCTTGCAGTGCGCAAAGAAATGCTTCGCTTTCTTTACCTTTTGGGCGACTTCACTGATAACCAACATTTTCTCCCTAAGTATGAAAAAATTGAGATTATGCATGTTAAGGCGGTCACGTTAATCACCCTTCTGACACCGTGAACTTCGCTAGAAAGACAAACATATGCCAAGAAAAAACAGCGCGCACTACTTTTTTTGTGGGGAGGGGGGGGGGGCTGAAGCGTCCTCAGCAAGTGTTTTTCAGGTACTCGGTAAATGGTGCACTATAGAGAACCAATTACCGAGAAACCAAATGCGCGCAGGAAACGAGTGTGAACACTGTTCTGGCTTCCATGACATGGCAGCTAATCTGCACATGACGCGAACGACCTTTAGACGCATTTACGTTTGAGTACACTAACATTACAATCGGCTTCCTAATAGCTAGAAGCATTTTGTATTTTTTCTGCAGATCGTTGTGCCACGGTACGCTGCGCTGGCTGTCCATCTGGATCTACGTTCAGCCCCACACCGCGTGAATGCTGCCGATGCGTTCGTAAGTTAATCTTCTCAGAACATTACAATAACATAGAAAATACAACTGCCGTTTGTTTCGTAGTACTGAGTTCTGTCGAGCGCTATTCAGTTCGTGCCATCTTTGACAACGATATAAAATAGTTCCAAAGTAAAACCTAGCATTGTGGCGTTATTTTGCTCGGGTGAGCCGAAATCACAATAATTCTACTTCGTATGTGGCTTTTGCTATCCCTTAGAAAGCTTCACCGTGCCTGAGGTGTGAGATGGGTAAAATGCTTTATCATGGAAACTTATGGCTTGAAACGTTTTAACCAATAAGGGAACTGACGTATTGAAAAAAAATGTATACTTGACAATAGGCCACAATCATCACCTCACTTGCTGCAACAGAAAACGTACTGTTACTGTACACTGATATGCAGTGAACAAGCAACTTATAGAAAAAAAGCAGCCATAATAATGTGACATCTAATTCCACAAAACGTAATACATAAACGGATACCCTTTTTGCGATAATCAATTGTATGTACTACTAGGGGATGATACCACAACTGGATAAGTAAAGATTCTTGATATTCTTTCCTTATGAAGTATGTTATGGAGTTTATGAAGTCACTCCACAAACTTTCTGGGGTATTATTTATGCCTTCGCAGATTCTTCGACAATGTGACAACCAAGTTGATTCTTGAAGTTTCTGAACCCATCTATATACGGGTAGAGCAAACAGAGCTAATTGTACGTGTCTCTTCAACCCTATTAGAAAAAAGACCACCAAAGGATTGGTGAAGTGGTGAATTGGCACATAACGTATGGAAGATGCTGGAGGGCCGCCAATGCTGGAGCGCAAAACGGCATCATGACCACCATCACTAGCTGCCACCAAAAAAAAAACAAATAAAAAATAAAAGAAAGATTGTGTGCAAAGCGAAGCAGCAAGCACCCGTACAAAAAAACCCGAGAGCGCAAAGATTTGAATGCACAAATTTCGGATTTTTAACTGAACACATTAACTACAAACCCATACCAACTTATACAACACAAGTTGTTAAATCACTTGGTAACTTACGAACTCAGCGTTCAACTTCCGTTCTGTTTCTCGCTTACTTCAGATAGACGGGATCGGCACCTGGTACAAAAACTGGCACGTTTATGAAACACAAACAACTACATGCCTGCAACAATTATCACTGCGATAATGGCAACAGTGTTACGTTTTAGCTACAGTTCACAACCGCAAGAAAAAAAAACTCAAGTGGACTGCGGAGAAGGTACAGTTTACCTGCAGCTACTGTCAAGTTTTATATCCGTTTCCCACTCGTTCCAAAGGGCAGCATCTTCTGAAGCTTCATGACGCCTCTATGCTCCTTCGATTGATACGCCCACACAATTGATTTAGTATTGCGATGTTTTTCCTGCAACGTACAGCACAGTCGTGCCAGCGCACTTCTGTAAATAACGTTACCAACAGTTACGTAATGGTGGGCAAAAAAGAATTCAGTGCGCCAGAAACATTACGCTATCCTATTGTTTCAATAAGCATACAAATTCACAATTCTTTGTTCTCGCATAAGAGCCAGAGAAGTCCCGGCGAGTGCGACCAGCCGTGGTCGGTGAGTGGAGGCGCACGTTTGCTGTAAGTGCTGAAACCGCACCGCATCAATGGTCGTCGCTTCTTGCGTGGACACCGTACACAATAAAAAAACAATGCTTCATTTAGGGTAACTGATGTCACGCGTGTGCTGCAGTGTTATTCTTACTCGTCGAATTTGTGTATTCTACAACCTGAAAGCGCAGATAACACTTACTGTCTCGGTCAGCTTAACCTTTGGTAGACATCAGGGTGGTAGAACAGAATGGTAGTAGTCAAACTTGCTGGGGTTCGTCTCGACGCACGTCGAAGGTAAACGTTCATGCACTTTAGCGTCGCACGCATTTTGTTAACACAAACATACGGCTGAAGTTATTGAATGTGCAAAAATTGACAGAGTTGCGTTTTTAGCGTGGAGACATAAATGACCCCGGTATTCTCGTCTACCGCTAAAAGGGGCAATTGTAAACTGGTGCTCATTTACTTTTCGGCGATTGCGTGGGGATGTAATACATTTACCACAGCTGTTCACAGTAACACCACTGTGGTACTATAAACAGCTGCGCAGAGCAACACATTGACACATCGCAGCAGAGCAACGCATTGCTCATGCCAAACTTATGTAGGTACGTGCACAAAATGTAAACATTCACGGCAGCATGCTACGCCACACAAATATTGAAGCGTTTTTGACACCGCACAAATGAAAAAAAAAACGTGCTAGCAAGTGTGAGGACCGCCGCTAGTTTCAGTCAACCGTAAACATATTTCTCTGCGCATTCCAGAGTGATACACAAGAAATAATGGGTTTTAACATACTCTCATCTGCTTTTTCATGATGACCCCACCATCCACCAAGCTTCCATCAAGCCACCGTCATTCAGCATGTTCACTAAGCCATCCACAAAGCACGTTTCGCATCGCCACCATCAGCTGGCCTTTTCCACTGTCACCACCACCATCAAGCTTCCATCACACTAGCATCATCCAGTTTGTTCACCATGTCATTCACCGTTCTTAAACGTGTTTTAAAACGTGTTTACGTTTTACATCACCACAGACTAAATGAAAATACCCTGAAATAACCTCAAACTCAGGGTAAACCACTTGTCCTCTAGCGAACCAGCGTTGCTGGGTATAATTAACCACCTACCAGTCGAAGTAAAATTTTACTCTCGTGCTAAATGAGTTTTTAAATGTAGATAGGGTAGTAATTATTTAACACACTAAGGTTTTGGGTGAGTATAGAGAGAGTAAATTTTTACTGCCCTCACGAGGGTTTTTGAGGTAATTTCTGGGAGTTATTCAGGTGGTAAAGAAAATTAACGTTGACGGGTGCATTCGCCTAAAGAGTCGACAAATTTTCAATTATTAAAGGATGGCAGAATTGAAGACACATAGATTAACATACAGCCAAACACATGCATACGAAAAATGCAGTATAAAACACCACTTCAATAGACTGCACGTGTTACGTGACTGTAACAGATGTTCTGTGACTGCACTTCGACAATCCGGTATATATTGGCATGCGTTTCTGAACAGCCGTGTAGTGCCGGTAGGAGAGTATTTTTCGCATCGATTAACAATAACGGTTAAACGTGCAAGCACTAACTATTAACTCCAGGTGGGCTGCAGATTGCTAGGTGTCACACCGACTTTCTATACTAAACTCACCCGATCTCACTTTTTTGAATATCCAATAATTAACTCGCGCACCGGCCTGTTGGCCCCACCCGTGTTTGCACTGCTGATGCACAAGTCCATAAAATTTACGTATGTACACTCAGACCACGGCAGCTCAGTTGTTTGCATTGAGCAGTGGTGCACAAACACAGTAGCAGCACGTATTCATGACAACGGGCATAAAAGAGCGGTGAACGTCTGTATAAAAGCTTCTTACCAACGGCGTACTAGGCCTTTTTGAGGAGCATGGCTATGCGATTAACGGCAGCTGGCGATCATAGAATACATCACCTGTGCGAATTTTGTCGCCATTTTGGGCTGCACACTTTGGGCTGCAATTTGCTGCAGCAGACATTGTCTTCTGTGAAACAAAATATATTCGATGCTTCGTTTACCTGCCCCGGCGATGCACCCACCCTGGCCGGCTTCATGTCGACGACGTAGCGAAGCCTTTCGCTTATCGCTTCGGTAACTGGTCACTCTTCAGGAAGCAACCACGGACGATGACACCAGCATCATTTTGTTACCGCTGGCAGGTCTCAGCGAATCAGCACGAAATCGAGGTATCCATGACGTACAGGTTCGGAGGCTCGCGCTCGGAAGTGCACGGTCGCTCGATGAAGTAAGAAACACGTGAAATTCATCAGCTCAACCAGACACACAGATCTCGAGCTTCTTTCAACGTCTGTCTCCAGGGCACCACACAGCAAAACCCGATGATTTGCTTAAAAAATGCAGGAGAACTTTCCAGCACGTTTTTCTTTCTTGGAATGTCCCTCCCCCCGCCCCCACACACACACACACTTTTTTTGGTTCACAGATTGCTTTCCTCGCTCGTTGTGCTCATGTTGCTCCCAGTTCCAATGAAAGTGCGTTGACTCGAGGTCAGTGATGAGGCGCGACGATGCCGTACCAAACTATAAAAAAAACATATGTGATCCTCGCGTACATTCACGATGCAGTGAGAGCTAGAGAGCGTCAGTCAGGGGGTTTGAGGCCAAAAGCCACCAAAGCAGCTGCAGCTAGCAGTCAAGTGGTAATAAACTCCGAAGCGTGGGTTAAAAGTCACGTGATAGAAATCTCCCCAAGAGGTAAAAGTGGATTTTTACTTCCAAGTGGATTTTTACAAGTGAATGTGTTCATAAATTTAAAAACAAGATAACATTACTTTTGGACACCGGATACAGTCTTTATTTTCGAGTGTCCGTTGATTTGTTGCAGGTGTGCTTTCCTGGTGGCAATTCCCTCTGTTTCGTTTAGTTGTACTTCACATAATTTCAATTGTAAGTTAGGCAGATTTGTAGCGGCACTTCAATATTTTCTTCATTTCCGTAATCTATCACCAGTTAAATACTTGAATTAGCTTGTATTTCTGTCACTAAATTTCTCGTGAAGTTGGTGTAGGTATTTCACAGTTTTTTCATAACAACTGCTTGAATTTTGCTGTACCCCAATGCTTCTTGCTGGCCACACTACTGTTAAGTGTTTTTTTTTCGAGCTTGGTTGTAAGCCTAGTCCGGAAACAGTCATGTCTGTTTTATTTAGCGTCATATCAGAGGTATGTAACATGGCATGTAAGTGTACAATGTTCACATGTCAGTCAAAGGCAACCAATAGTATTACTTATGCCAGTTCATTAATATTAATAATATAATAATAATAACGATATTATTATTAATATTATTATTATTATTATTACTATTATTATTATTTAGATGGTTTATGAAATACATTGACGACACTTGATCACACTTGAGAAAAAGCACACGTGCGCGCTCTACAACTGGTTACTGTATCATACAGACACATCCGTCACCTAAAACTAAAGCAGGCAGAACAAACGATTTTGAAAATGTTTGATAAATTTTATGCTTGACATTTCGTAATCCAATATGAAGTCTTACAGAAAGTCTACGGAGCGCATCCAGTTTCTTCTATTGTGGCGCCAGTGTTGCCAGCGTGCAGGCACAGTGCATGCAGCACGACCAGTGCCTCACAGCGGTGCGTAAGACTGTAGGCCACGCTGTACAGTGTGTCCCAGTGACTTCCAGCGCGCTGTAGTACAACGGTAAACACTGAACAGTGTTTCCAGAGTAACTCAGTATGCTGAATCGCACTTAGAGACTGTGGAGACCATTTTTTTTCAATAGAAATTCATCAAATAATCTAAATGCAAAAATGTAACAGCGAGTTTTTAATTTTTTTCTTGTTGCTTGCGATAGCTCGGCATCCGGTTAACTTTAGCAATTTATTGGCACTGTGAAAAATCTACTTAGAGGGGTGTTATTTTATTGCAGAGCACATTATTTTGATACATTTTTGTTTCAGTCCTGAAATCTGTTTTTAACACTCAGCGCACATACCGTTGCGAATTGTGGAAAGCTTCGCATGTGTGTCAAGATTACACGCAGGACACTAATAGTCAAGTTGTTGTCGAGAGCTTAAACAAGGACACTTCATAATGCTGGGAGGTACAAGGACTGCCTAGTAAAAGGCGAAGACTCTCGCCGATGATGAGATAGCTCGACCGCCAAAGCTCTATCAGTTAGCAGCTTGAAATCCTTGTACCAAGCTTGACCTTTATTATTCCCAATACAAGTTCACTCAACTAGAGTTTTGTTTCGGACGAGACGACTGATGCGTTCATGAACATCATGACCACGTGACAATATTACGAGTCGTGGTTTACGTGACGGCAACGTGATTTTTTGTAGCTATGTTACACATGTGCCAAAATTATTGTTACCTGTGATAAAACTTACGAATAAAATACCCTAACTCCTATCCCTCCTCCCTTCAACACACACGAACTCATAGCTCTGATGATTTAACAACTTCTTCATGTCGCAAAGCGATCATTTATTTCAGCGCATATGCGAGCAATTTGAAGCCTTTCAAAAGAAACACGTCGAGCCCTTCGATAAGAACCGGCCCAGGCCATCTGCGCCTTTCATTAGGAAATGTACATTGCTTGAGAAATGTCCATTCACTTCAACTAGCATATTTTACGGCACCACTTAGTGCCCAGGAAATACAAAAAAGTGTGATTTATCTAGCCTTCTATCAGTTTTAATAAGTGTATGCATTTACTGTCATTTTATTTCAGCTAAAGTGGACTGCAGGGTTGTGTTCTGCCGCGCATGTCCCTCAGGAACCACGCTTCGCCAGACGCCCTTAAACTGCTGCGAATGCGTGAGGAGGCAGATATGAATTTAAAGTCTGCCACCTTTGCCTCCAACAAGCAGATGAGGAAACGTTTGCACAGGTCTGAAGCAAGAACACCCCATTTGCGACGCTTTACAACAATCGGCGAATAAAATTTGCGATATGTGCTCTGAGCTGTTCATGTTTTGATAATAAAACCTATGTTTAAGACATGGCGTGAGTTTGATCCGTGTGCCCTAACCTAGCTACAAACATCCTGCAGCTAATTTGGTCATCAACTTTTGTCACCTCAAGGAACACTTCCCGGCAAAAGATGCGTAATTTATTAGTTGAACTTTCTCACAATCAGAAAAATTTGACAGCCCTTTAGCGTTCAATGAAACCAGAGATAAATTTTGCAAATGTTGGCAGTCCCTTCAATGCAAAAAAAAATGTTCACAATTTTCTCCTTGTGAACGCCTCTTTGGCAAGCAACTCTGACACTGTATTTATTATAGTCCTAACAAAATGAAACACAGACTAATTTGACGTGAAACAGGCACGCCATACATGAACGGCTACAGATGGGCTTCCTTGACAAGCGTTTTCATTTCACAGGTGCATAAAAGGTGACCGCCGGAGATTGTACCCACGTCTTGTAGCGTACCCACGTCCTGTAGCGTCCTGTAGAAAAAGTGAAGCATACCCTCAGTCATCGTCAACATCATCATTACCCTTACTATGTCCACTGCTGGACAAAGCCCTATCCGGTCCTGCGCCAGTCAACTCGGTCCTGTGCTTGGTGTGGCCATTTTATACCCGTAAACTTCTTATTCTAAGCTGCCCGCCTAGCTTACTGTCACTCCCAAACCCGCTTGCCTTCTTTGGGAATCCAGGTAACTACACTTCATGACCAGCGGTTATCCTGTCTACGCGCTACATCGTATCCTTCATAAGTCGGTTCGATTAGTTGGCAGTTTCGCACCACTTTTCTGGAAGTTGTCCGAAACAAAGCAGGTGTGTTTTGAATGCAGCACTGGATTTATTGCGTATAAGCTGTAGGAATGATAATCGACAAAAACAGGCACTTAGGGAGAAATATTTGTATGCTTAATTAAACGCAACTATTCTGCAGCCCCAACGTCACATTAAAAGCCCTTTTTGTGAACATTCAGCAAAGCAGTTTTAGTGTAGAAGTATGTACGCCACAAATAGTGCTTTTAGTGACGACCACTGAACCATTGCAACATTTTTCAGAGGTACAATGCATGCTGACCACTCTTTGAACTTGCCTAATTGTGGGGCACCAGCCTTCACGTACACGTGTGGAATGGACATTCTGAACGTCTCTTGCTTATCGAATGGATATGTGTATAAGTTCAAAACAACAAATGAATGTAGAAAACCTTCCAATTCAACATCTAAACCGGTGTCCAGCTTTTGCGGGATGAAGCCCGCACCACAACTGAAATATTGAAATATATATATATATATATATATATATATATATATATATATATATATATATATATATATATATATATTTATATATATATATTTATATATATATATATATTTATATATATATATATTTATATATTGTTACGGGTAACTTATTTAATAAATTAAATACGAGGCACTGTGCTCGGCGAACAAGATGGCGACAGTTCATAAACAACCAGCCACCAACGTCGTCTTTCTCTTTCTTCCAGACAGGCTGTGCCGGCTGTTGCGTATCATAACCCCCCGGTGGTAGAAGCACCGTCTCGGTGCTTGAGCGACTCGGATGCGGTAGAAGGAGGGTGATAGGGCTTGAGTCGAGCTATGTGCACGATGTCACTCGAAGGTGACGATGATGACGTTGAATCGGCTGGAACGATCTCGTAGGTAACGTCAGTCACCTGGCGAACGACACGGTATGGTCCAGTGTAGCGTGACAGCAGTTTTTCAGAAAGGCCTACACGCCGAGTGGGGGACCAGAGGAGGACAAGGGAACCCGGTGAAAAGTGCACGTTTCGATGATGGGAATCGTAGAGCTGTCTTTGGCGCTCCTGTGAAGCCTGCAGGCGGCTGCGGGCGAGTTGGCGTGCGTGGTCGGCTCGCGCGATGGCTTCGCTGACATACTCAGTGACCGAGGGCAGCAAGGTGTCAAATGGTAGGGCGGGTTCTCGGCCGTATAGAAGATGGAATGGTGAATAGCCGGCAGTGTCGTGACGTGACGAATTATATGCGAACGTCACAAATGGCAAATGAACGTCCCAGTCCCGGTGGTCGGCCGCTACGTATTTAGAAAGCATGTCGGTTATGGTGCGGTTGAGGCGCTCCGTAAGACCGTTCGTTTGTGGATGGTACGAAGTGGCAAACTTGTGCTTGGCAGAGCAAGCGCGCAGGATTTCATCAACGGCAGCTGATAGGAAGGTGCGGCCCCGGTCAGTGAGAAGTTGGCGTGGAGCTCCGTGTACTAAAATAATATCATATACCAGAAAGTCCGCCACATCGGTTGCGCAACTCGTCGGAAGTGCTCGTGTGATAGCGTACCGTGTCGCATAGTCAGTGGCGACAGCGATCCATTTGTTGCCTGAGCTGGAGATCGGGAATGGGCCAAGCAGGTCGAGGCCAACTCGAAAAAAAGGTTCGATGGGAATGTCGATTGGCTGAAGAAATCCAGCTGGTAGGGAAGATGGCTTTTTGCGGCGCTGGCAGAGTTCACAAGCGGCGACGTAGCGTCGAACAGAGCGGGCAAGACCAGGCCAAAAGAAACGACGACGTACACGGTCGTATGTGCGAGAGACGCCCAAGTGGCCCGCCAAAGGAGCGTCATGAAGTTGGTTGAGAATAGTCGCACGAAGATGTGCTGGTATGACGGGGAGCAAGTCATGGCCATATGGCTCGAGGTTACGGCGATACAGGATGCCGTCTTTTACCAGGAACATTTGTAGAGATGCGTCGCGAGGCCTTGACTCAAGTTTGCCAATGATGGTTCGCAGGGAAGCATCCAGGCGTTGTTCGTGCCCAAGGTTGAGTAGCTGCGTCACAGACAGAAGGTCTGGAAAGGTGTCAGTATGGGCAGCCTCCTCCACGGGGTAGCGTGATAAACAATCAGCATCTTGGTGTGACCGCCCTGTTTTGTACGTTACGGTGAACGTGTACTCTTGTAATCGTACGGACCAACGAGCGAGGTGTCCTGTGGGATCCTTGAGTGAGGCCAGCCAGCAGAGTGCGTGATGGTCGGTGACTACCCGGAATGGACGCCCGTATAAGTATGGGCGAAACTTGGCGACTGCCCACACGAGAGCGAGACACTCACGTTCCGTGATTGAATAGTTGCGCTCGGCTGTAGATAGTAGGCGGCTTGCATATGCTATAACACGGTCATGTCCGCGTTCATGTTGCACTAGCATTGCCCCGATGCCATGCCCACTAGCGTCAGTGCGAACCTCGGTTGGAGCTGATGGATCAAAATGGGCTAAAATCGGCGGTGTTGTAAGGAGCGTCGTGAGCTGGGAAAAAGATGAGGCTTGATCAGCGCCCCAGAAAAACGGGGTGTCCTTCTTCAGGAGGTTTGTGAGTGGGCTGCAATGATGGCGAAGTCCTTAACAAACCGTCTAAAGTAGGAGCACAAGCCCACAAAACTGCGAACGTCCTTTGTTGACTTCGGAACAGGAAAGTCCGTGACGGCGCGAATTTTCTTGGGATCCGGGCGGACTCTTGCGGCATCGACGATGTGGCCAAGTACGGTTATTTGACGACGAGCAAAGTGGCATTTCGACGAGTTCAGTTGATATCCGGCTCGACGAAAAACTTCAAGAGTCGCCGATAAACGCTTGAGATGGGAGTCGAATGTGGGCGAGAAAACGATAACGTCGTCTAAATAACATAAGCAGGTTGACCATTTAAACCCTTGGAGCAACGAGTCCATCATTCTTTCGAATGTGGCCGGCGCATTACAGAGACCAAAGGGCATAACTTTGAAGTGATAAAGCCCGTCAGGAGTGACGAATGCGGTCTTCTCACGGTCCATCTCATCCACAGCGATCTGCCAATAGCCAGATCGAAGGTCGATAGTGGAAAAATACTTAGCACCGTAAAGGCAGTCTAAGGCATCGTCAATTCTAGGCAACGGAAACATCTTTCTTCGTAATTTTGTTGAGATGCCTGTAATCTACACAAAAGCGCCATGTTCCATCCTTCTTTCTGATTAGGATGACAGGAGAAGCCCAGGGGCTACAAGAGGGTTCGATTATGTCCTTTGCAAGCATCTTTTCGACTTCCTGTTGTATGACTGTGCGCTCGGACGCGGAAACACGGTATTGACGTCGGTGAATGGGACTCGCGTCACCGGTATTGATGCGATGAGTAACAACACTCGTTCGGCTTAAAGCCGTGCTGGCGAAGTCAAAAATGTCACTATAGGACTCCAGGACGTGACGAAGGGCTTCGGCTTGATCAGGAGCGAGGTCTGATGGTACCATGTGGTCAACGTCGACGCCCGATGAACGTGTTAGAGTTGGTTCATTGTCTGAGGTGCAGCAATCATCCACTCGGAAGGGTTCAACCGTATGGTCTTGTAGAGCAGTAATTTCGGCCAGGGAGATACCTTGTGGAAGAATTTGGGCAGTGAGGGCAAAATTCACAATAGGAAGGCATGTGCGGTTTCCAACGATTGTCAAAATGGTGTGCGGAACAGCGACGCCATGCGTAAGCATCACGGCATAAATTGGTGCCACCATGTAATCGCCGTCAGGTACAGGTGGTGTAGAGAAGAGGTCGATATGTGTGACACAGTTAGGCGGAAGGCGTGCGAAATCAATGCAGCAAAGGCGACTTTGGGGTGGGTTGGTCAGATCAGCAAGTAGAGGCATTTCAAGGTCAAGACAGCCGGCTGAACAATCTATACGGGCCGAGTGAGCGATTAGAAAATCCATGCCTAGAATTACTTCATGAGGGCAATTTTCTATAACGGTGAAAAGAACAGCAGTGCTTCTATCGGCGATAGTCACACGGGCAGAGCACATGCCAATAATCGCGGCAGTTCCCCCGTCGGCGACTCGAACGGCTCGGTTCAAGGCGGGTGTGACAACTTTCTTTAGGCGGCGACGAAGAGCAGCACTCATTATGGACACATGCGCGCCGGTATCGATCAATGCGCGCACAGGTACATTGTCTAATGTAACGTTCAACAGATTCCGGGTCGTCGGTAATAATACACGAGGATTTCTTGCAGAGGCCATCGTC